CTCCGGGGCCTCCTCTGGCCCCGCTCCACCAGGTCCATGTCTCTCCTGTGCTGAGGCCCCCGAGCTGGAGGCAGCACTGCAGGGGGGTCTCCCCAGAGCAGAGCGCAGCAGAGGGGCACAATCCCCCCTCGCCCTGCTGGCCACGCTGCTGGGGATGCAGCCCGGGATGCCGGGGGATCGCTGGGCTGCCAGTGCACATTGCTGGCTCACGTTCAGCTTCTCATCCACCAACACCCCCAAGCCCTTCTCCTCAGGGCTGCTCTCTATCCCCTCATCCCCCAGCCTGTATTTGTGCTTGGGATTTCCCCGACCCATGTGCAGGACCTTGACTTGGCCTTGTGCAGCATCACCCAGGAGCAGAACTGGACCCTGGTGACGAGGCGAGGAGAGGGATGCTGCTGTCCCACACCTTGGCATGGCACCAGGCTGGAAGCAGGGGGGAGGCAACAGCACCCAGAGCACAGCGAGAGGCTTCCCCGGGGAAGAGGCGCCGGAGAAAGTGCTTTGAGACACTGCGCAGAGCAGAAAGTCATACCAAGAGCACAGGGGGAAGGCAGCAGCGCAGGAGGAAGCCAGGGTAGGTGCTGAAAACCAGCATGGGAGATAGGTAATTCGATAAAAAAAACCATTCACAACTGGAGCAGCCTCAACTGGAAGCGTTTCGAGGTCCAGAGGTGCAGAGCACCCTGCAATGAAATCCTGAAGAGCTGCAGCTCCTCAGAGTGGCGGGGAAACATTTGGGTTCAGTACATGGATTTGGGAGCCAACAACCAAGTGAGTAAGTAGAAAGGTTTCATCCTGGTCCCCAGCAAAGAAAAAGCCACACAGGAATGCAAAATAGATACGGGAATTAATTAGGTAGAGCATCTATTTTCTCTAGCGGGACAGAATTAATTTCACAGCAAGATTTCACGTCTCCGGAGGCTGGGCCAGAGCACGCTCAAGGGTTAGGAGAAACACCAAGGAGAAATAAAAAGGAGGAATTTACATAACTACTTTCACTGAAGTATTTAATCATAGCTTTTATTACGTGAAAGCAAGTAATGGTTCAGTTTCCAAGCCATGGACGGTTGAAGAGCTACAGCCGGTCCGTTGAAGAAATCCTCAGCGAACTGGGTAGAAATCCTCCATAAGTTCTCCTATTCTTTTCCTTTCTGCAAAAGGCAAAGGGGTGGAGATGGGAAAACCTAACCAGCATTTGAGATCAATTCTGAAGATTTTTAATATTGAGTCTTAAGGTTAACAGAGCCACCAAAAACATGGGCTTTGCTACCAACAGTGAACTGTTAACTTGCTGTGTAAATGGAATACCTCACTTCTCTTCCACAGGTTAACAGAGCCACCAAAAACATGGGTTTTGCTACCAACTGTTAACTTGCTGCGTAATGGAATACCTCACTTCTTTTCCATAGGGCTCTCCACAGATCCCCGTGAAGACATCTCAGTATTAATGGTTTATTTCTACATATTCCTTCCAACATGGGATGACGCAGATCCCAATCCAGCAGCCAGTCACCTAACTATATTTTACTAAAAAATAGCCAGTTTTCACCAAAATTTGTCATTGCATTGCTGGGCTTAGTGAGTACATTCAGTAAAACACTGCTGTTCTTCACTAAGGCTCTAAGCCAGCAAGAGCCAGCAGCACTTCTGGTTTTCTGCCTTTTCTGTTTATTCTTTTTTCACCTGCTCTGCTTATTTTCTGGACGTTCATCACACCATTTTTGAATTGACATGCACTGCAATTTTTTTAAAACAGTAAAATAGTGATTTTAGAAGAATAAAACCTGCGATTTCCCATTTTCATTACTTTCTTTACTTCTTCAGAGGCACAAGTTTGATCTGTTCTTATTTTCTTTGGCTCTGCCAATCTTATATTAGAAAAAGCTTTTCAGAGGAAGAGTTGGTCATCAAGGCAGCTGATAGAAATAGCTATTAGAATAGAAATAGGTAATAGAAAATATCTATTTTCATATCACAAAATCCTTATTACTGTTGCAACAGATCATTAATAAGCAGGAAAGAGTTAGCAGTCTGTACGTCTTGCTAGAAAAGAAGATTCTGCAAGCAGCCCTGCAAAATCTTCGCATACATTAGCACTGATTAACGGGTACGTTTTGGCAGGCCGAGGTCTTTCTTAAAATACCAAGTTGTTATACCTGCTCTCTTAAAGTCTTCGGGGTGGTGCCTGACGTACTCAAACAACTCTCTGTCCAGTTTGGCATGTATGTAATCCGCCCGTTTCACAAGGTAATAGCCAACAAACCATCCCACGGTAGTGAACAGGACCTGGCGGTGAACTCCTGCAGCAGAAGGAGGAACATCCCCCTGTCACAGCCCCTCTCCCAGCCCCAGCCAGCCCCCC